TACTACTAATAATAATATTAATAACAATAACAATAATAAACGTTTTAAACAAAAACAAGCAAGTTATGAACTTCAAGTTAATACAAAGTAAATACAAACATCGCCACTGATTCACTTCATAAACTTACACGTGACAATTTTTCAGAGCGATTCCGATGTGAATTTCAACGTGTTTGCTGCCCAAACAAACAGAAGAGGGATGAAAGTGAACGCAAAACGTGCTTTCACACTGACCAGCAAGCAAACTGCTGACACTCATATACGTTTCATACTTAAGTCCAGAGGTTGTTCATCTACCGAAATCACTGCTGCTTCTTTATACAAACAATGCCTCACGTTCTGTGAAGAAGTTGTCTCTCTTGACTGAGATTCCTCACATATTACGCGTTTCCGAGTGGAATTGCTGCTTCGCAGTGTCGCCAAAGCTAGCGGCAAAATAGGCGGTCGACTGAGTAGACAGGCCACTGATCGATGAGATTCAATAATGGATGGCTTAGTAATGGGAATATTTCTGCACGTCTGGTTCACAAAAGATCGCAATTCTGTGCGATCACAACAAGAATTCACAGCTATTTCTTTAGGGCTAATTTGAATCTCCATAGAGGGAGGTGAAATCGTTTTTGCAGGTCGTTTTTCCATTTCCAACGGTTCACAACTTCTTATTACCAACGAATCTGCTTCCGTCGTTTTAGCGGCGTTTGGAATGTCATCAGAAATAGACGTTGTAGAAGAATCCGACGTGGATGAGCAGTAACTGCCTGGCCAGACAGTAGTAGCTTCAAGAGTTTGCTGGTGGACTGCATTTTGAATCTCCAATTCATTTTGAAGGGACTGGAAAATATAGAAAGCCATAGAACGGAACTCTTCTGAGAAAGTATCACGGAATAGATGACGCAAACGATTATGAATCAACGTTGCCATTTCAGGTTGATTCTGAAGTGGTTTCTCACTGGCACACATGCTAGCAGCAGTCAAAAGGGCAATTTGTTGTACTGATAATTTTAATGAATTGAATTTTTGCAAGAAAATAGTGAGAGGAGAGTAAGCATTCTGCTGGCTATCATCCACCGAAGTCCGAATCGCCATCAAATTCCTTCCTTCTGATTCCAAAGCTGACATCACTGCCAACATCGTTGTTTGAAATAATGAGCCCTAAAAAGCTACAATTTAATTTTTCAATCCTTCGATTTTACACTTTTGTTATGTCACCAAGCATAAATGTTGAAAATCTTACTTTTAACAGTTGTATTCGGTCTTGATGATGCAACAAACTGAATCCCGGAATGCTTTGAGAGAATTCGTGGACTGCTTTTATCGTACTGTGTGCATGAATCCTTGAAAATTATATAATTTGTATTCTATTTAATTAATGTTATGTGAAATATTGGGAGGAGAAATCACGAAAGTACCGAATTTGCATTATTTTATTAGTTAACAAATATGTAACCTTCCAATTGGACAGATACTCCGAATAGATGACTGTTCAAGCAGTTTTTTCACGTTTTCCGTCAAACGCAAGAAACCATTAAGACAAGATTCCATAACCAAATTTCCATCGAGAAGTGAGCTTCTGATAGCGTCTGTTAAAGTACGTACTGTGACACGAGCCAACTCTTCAGCCATTCGAGCCTTCTCATGTTTTGGTACTCTGCCGAATCGTACAGCTATAATTTGTATGGTTCTTTTTGGGACACATAAATCATTGAAGAAAGAACAATCAAGCAGTCGAAAGTAATTCGAACTGAGATTAACCTCAGGCGATGACCTTCAGGTACTTTTGTCAATCCACTTTACAAGCGTTCAACAACCTCAGTATAAATTCGTTTTTCTTCTCGGTAATTTTATTACAAAGCAGTTGTTGTCATAAATTAACATGCATCGCACCTCTCCCAGCAATCATTTGATGCTCACAACTCTATCAGAAAGCTCTGAAACTATTTTGAAGTGCATTTCACTTTCAAACTCGCATTCCTTCCCACTCAAACACTCAATTACTCAGTTACTACCTCTTCAGTACAAGGCTCAAATGTTATTGCCAACAGTCACATCACATTAAGCTGAATTGAATGGGTAAGCATTCGCATTTTTCTAGTAATTCAGTAGTGCAGTTCGTCTTTGATGCACGAAACTTCACTGCTATGAGGATATCCAGTATGGAAGAGGATTACTGAATTGGGAAAGTTTCAAAATCCGTTTAAAGCAGTGCATAGTTTTCAGATTATTCTGCTCGAATTATTATTTAAGTTTTTTAATTGAAATTTTCATATGAAATAGAGCGGGGCGAAAGTGAAAATTGGAGAGAAAGAAGTAATTCCGTTGAAATTCACAAGGTCAACCGTGAAGAAATGAATTAAGGACATTCATTTCACCTTCGGCAATTGTGCTTGCATCAGTAATGAATGGTTTTTCGGATGTTCGCATGAAATGACCTAAATAGCCTTGATTTGTGCAATCTATCCATTCCTGAGGAGACAAACAAACCACAATGTTATCGAGGGTTTGCTACCTGATTTAGATCAAGGTCAACTTCTTAACTAACTTCATTTTGCTGCTTTTCACTTCAGGTCAAGGACAGTTTAACTTCATCATAGATAGCATTTTCCTATCAAGGTTAGCACTAAATTGATAAATAACCCTAATTTGCTGAATTTCAATTAGTTTGAGTCAAATTAAACAAAAATGAATGATAGAGAACATGCTCATTAAAAAAGGATTAATACATCAACTTCAGTAATAGTTGCGCCATGATTGTCACTGATTTCTTTTTATCAACTAAAATTACAGTTAATCATAATAACACTATGAATCTCGAAAACCGGCTAAAACGATTCATTCTAAATCACTTTCAAATGAATATACACAGTAAAATCACACTTCTCCCAATAATTCATTGCTTGAGAAATTAAAATATTCTCGAATTAATATGCGTTGTTGCAATAAAGGTCTATTGCTACTTTTTCAGTTAAATTTCCTACAGAAACAGCACAAAAGAAGTTCAATATGCATACCATCTCTTGACATCCCCACTTTGATGCATTTTTGTAATCTACAATGTTGACATCGATTACGGTTATTTCGTGCAACAACACATTGCTGATTTCTTGTACATGGACGGTACTGAATTTTCTGCTGAATAGAACGGCGAAAAAAACCCTTCAAGTGATAATTTTTACTTGCGCGGATAAATCATTTCAAACAATTATTATATTTCTTGAGCTTGCAAAATAAGGCAATAAAAATAATACTATTAAATTAGAGCTCAAATAATAACTCATTTTTACACGGTACTCAAGTACATAAAGACAAAAATACTGATAATATTGCATTCTAAAATAATTATCACTAAACAAGCAAAGAAAAGAAAGAAAAAGTTGAAGGTTGCAGAAAAGATTACCGTCTTCACCGTTATAATAAAAACTTTCAATAGTATAATTATAATAATTTATTATTATTATTGTCATTATTATAATTATAAATTATTATAATATCACATTGTCACTATTAAAAAGGCTATTACAATCAAACTGATTAGGACAAGATTGAGTATTGAAAAACAATGTAAACTTGGTTATTTTAAATTATTACAAATTTTCTGCTGGTAACAATAAACTCAGTACTTACTTTGCAGCCTTCACATGCGAAAACTCCATAATGAAAACCCGATGCTCTGTCAGCGCAAACTTGACACAAGTAATTACTGCTTGTGGAAGCGTCTGAAAAGTAAAGAAATTTTCAGACGTAAAGGTATGAAGAAAATGCAAATTTTGTCATGTTTTCATTAACTGTTTTTTGAATTTAATCTCTAAACAATAATCATTTTCAATGTTTTAAGCTTAATTATCATGAGTTCAAAAAAAAATTGACAGTAGTAGTATTTAAGAAGGAGTATTGTTGAGAGATAGTATACATTTTTTTTTAAATATTTACATAAAAAATGAAAGTATTTATGGCATTGTCCGATGAAATGACCCAAATTTTTAAGTGAAGGTCAAAGATTAGTAGTGAAATTATCGAAAACATAAGGAATACTTCTGAAACCAAAGTGTACTGTGATACATTTTTGTTCTGAGTAATGACCTGAGAGTTTGATAAATTAACTCGTTATCACGATTCCGTACCGAAATTGGAATATAACTCTATAAAAGCGGTAATTTCAAGAACTTGATTGTTTGCTCAATTTTATTTACAACTGATCAAGTGTAATTAACCTTAAATTGGTTAATTTTCGTAAAAAATATGGTCAATTATTCAGAGGTCAAGTAATTGATATAGTCATGAAGTACGTTGAGTGATCAAAAATTGCAAAAATAAAACTGCTTTTTCCAAGCAATTTTCACTCATTGCTACTTTCGCCGATTCAAAGTGACTTCTTTCAAATTTCAAATTTGAATTTACCTGGGACATTTATCTTGCTTCTCTATTGCACTCAAAAGATAACAAAACCTTTGGCATAGCACACCTCTCACTCTGTTCGCTTAATTGCACATTTTTGCTTACAAAATTTGAATCGGTCACTTTCTTCATCCCAAATCTGTATTAATTTTGTAATTTGCATGGAAGCTACTTTTCTTTTCAGACAAATGACAGTTTCTTGCATGCATTCAGCAGTTAGTTGATCACTGCAACTCATCAGCACGTGCTTACTTTCTCCAACCAATCACTTCACTTGAAGTTTTTTCCTCTTGAAATATCGTAATGATAACTTTTGAAAAGAAAAAGAAAATAAGATAATATTCACATATGTTTTAGAAATGATCAAATCATTGAAAATGTTTCACTTCCATAGTCATGACATTTGTTTCAATTAAAAAGTGAAGGACCTTTTGGTGATTCTCGGAAGAGAATCTGCCCTGGTCGGGTCGGTCAATGGGTGACACAGAGACACATATCAGCAACTTCAAGGTCACCGTCACCTAGCCACAACCGCTCGAAGCATACTTCCACAGTGACTTCATCACTTTACTGCATCAAAAACTTTCAAATAACCTTCAACTACTGGCTACTATTCTGCTACTAATTACTATCAGTTCAAAAAATAATTCAAAATCATACTTGTGATGCCAATAATTGAATTAAAAAACAGTGGAAAAACATGACAAAAATTGCTTCCTCAGAAGTTTGAATAATATAAAACAGACGCACTCACATCTATGATTTCCTATTTCTCAAACTTAAAGATGAAAAAATATTGTGAAAAAGAGCACGTAATCAAAGTTACGTAATTTTTGAATAATAAAAAGATGCGAAGTAAGAAGTACACTTTTGTGGCATATTAAAAAATGCGCTAATTTCAAGAAACATGTTTCTCTGCTGACGTACAAATTCTGCTCAAAAGAAGAGGAAGAAGATAACTATACGAAGAATAGTTAAATGACATGTCTTAACAAAGTTATTCCAAAGTGATGTTGCGAAGTGACTTCATCTAACTGCACTACTTAGAAGTGATAATTACAATGGATTTATCATAGATTACTAATGAAAAGTATCACTATTATCACTTTATCATTATTATCAGTACCGATGACTAACTTGAAGAAAAACAATTAGTTGCCACAAAAACTTTGGGTAATATTTATGCTCAAAGGTAGTCATGAAAAATATGACTAATTTATCACTTACAGAAAATAATTCTCTACTTTCTTGCACTTATTACACTTCTCTTCCTTGCATTTTAAACTATTTCTACGTGTTTCATATCAATGCCTTTCAAAATTACGCTCGCAGCAATTTTGTAAAATTTGCATTAATCACGTTAAGTGAATTCATATGCTTACATCGTGTTCACGTTTAACGTAAAGTAAATAGATTTACATGAAGTTATATCTATAATCTTAGGATGAAAAAAACTGCAGAAAAAACATCAAAAAAACGATCTGTGCATATATTTACTGTTGCAAAAAGTATTGCAAATATAGAAAACTGAATTATGCAATTAATTTTTGAATTACACAAAGATGAGAAGTAAGAAGTAAGAAGAAGAATTTTGTGCATATTAAAAAACTGTGTTGATTTTAAGAAACATAGACTAACAGAAATGCATATTTAAAAATAAAATAAATAAAAAAAAGAGACATTTTTTGTTCCTTCATTACTTAGATGATATATCATTTACAAATGTAAGAATTCAAAGAAAAATTATGATCATTCAATAATTGCAAGAGAAAGTAAATTACTAAATGATATAATAAAAAGTTGATTGTTTAATTCTATTATTCGAATTTTATAAAATTGTGTTAAAGGTTAAAGGTTAAGAAGTAGAGACCTGGAGAAAACTTACAACAATTACCGTTTTTGAGAACTGATGCAGTTTGGTGCTGACTATTAGGATCAGTGCAGTTAATGTGACTAGAATCATGAGTTGCTGAAGACATGAGCGAGTTTAGAGTTGTAACTACAAATAATTCAGATGAAGTAGTTGGAATGATTGGTCGAAAAGCTGAAGGTCTATTGCCAGTTGATATTAGACTTGTTGTTCTATTAAGATTGGATTCCGTTGTCTTCTGTGATAGAAAATAATGAGTGGTCGGTGGTGGTGGTAGTAATTGCGGTGTTGGTAGATTTCCATAGGTAACTACTGATTGATGCGCTGCATGAATAGTGAGAAGTTCTCCACATACTGAAGAACAAGCCGATGCGGAAGTAGTTGTAATCAAAGAGTTGTTCTGAATCGGTGATGCATTTTCAGTTGAAGAAGAGACATGTTGAACACGACATGTGAGTTGAGTCGGTGCTGTGATAGCTCCAGAATGTATCATTTTCAATCTCTTGTTGCCATTTTTACTCCATCAAAATTAAGCAAATAACCTGAATGAATGAATAAATTGCATTTGAAGTAATCATATAATTTCTCACAGCAATTAATATCTACACAAAATGGAAATTTCAAACTGATCCAAATATCACATCAGTTCTGATAGTTAAACAATCATAAGCAGTAAAATAGAATTATAATTAAATTATGCAAATTTTCGCTTGAATAATCAATCTGTGATATTTTTACCAATTTATTGTAACATCTATCAGAAGAAGAAAACTAAATATTGTAATAAAAATTGGTGAAAACTTTTGTATTATTCAATACCAAACAAAAGTGTGTGTAAACAGTAAATTTTTGAATACTTGCTTATAAGTTGAAACATAAATGAATATATGAATATTCACGATGGGGTAAGAACTGGTTCAGAAAGCGCGACAAACCACGCAACTGCCTGAATTTCATATCTGCGAGGTTGAATGGTTGTGGGAGGTGTACACACAAGGTCAACTATCACTACTACTACTACTATTATAACAACAATCTTTCTTACTCGTATTTATATTTTTCACTTCAATATTACCAACAAAAAGGGAAAATACTCTCCTTTTACTTTTAACATTTAATTAATGTTCACTTTCGATTTATTCACGTCGTCGCAAGAAAAAGCATAAAATGCGATTTTTTCTAACCTCTGAACCTCACAACCAACAATACAGCATTTGCATATCACGTTTCTATTTTTCTGCTCCCAACACTTTCCTTTCTCACTCTTCATAACTGCATTAATTTATACTTTTTCTAACTTATTATTCCGATTGCCCCTCAAAAAATTACCATAAAGTAATTATTTTAAACTGTACACAAAGAGGTGATAAATTAGACCAAATAATCAAAAAACTAACCTTTGGTTGATTTAATTTCTTGGAAATATTTCAGAGTATATCTGGAAAATCCTATCTTCATAGATTAATAAAATATTTCCAAACTTCCTAACGATAATGTTTGCTTTTGCAAGTAGATCACCATTCATTCAAGTTAAGATCAAGCAAATTGGAAGGGTTACGTATCATAGAATCTATCATGGAACCATAATTTCAGCATCCTGCCATCGCAAATGGGAATAATTTTGCCACTATAATCATTTTCTTTAATATTCCCCAAATCATCATAATTATCTTGTGATACTCATCATAACCTCTAATCTATGTTTTGGATTTAAAAAGTTTACATTAAATACTGGCAGTGACCGGAAACGATATGCTATTGACCGATTGCTAAAGATGACCATTATCATCACTTGAATCTTCTATTAGATTCTGTGCCTCTTCAAGAATTAATTCATTATGCATCAAATCATTGCTTTCAAATTCATCCTTAACATTTTGAAATGCCGCTCCAATAAGTGAAAAAAGAACAGGTAAAGCTGTAATAAACTGTGCAAGGGTCAAAGGTTGGTTTTGAAGTAAAGTATCACTGAGAAGTGATATTGGCACGCATATGAATACAGCAATAATGTCTGCCATAGTGCTTCTGAGTGCTGTGCCATACAGCCATAATATATTAATGAATAATACTTCCAAGAAACCGTTCAAAAGTAACAGTATAGACTGTAGCTGATTAGGTAGTGGAAAAAGTGATTCCACAGAAGAATAATGCAAAATTAGTAAAAATGGAGTGTAAAATATCATCGTTAACAGGCCAATACTACCTGAAATGAGTAGAAGAAAATTTAAAATTAATGTTTTGCTTTTTTGTTGCTAACATTTAATTATCATCAATGAATCAATCATTTAAGGGGACAAAGTTGAGGGTGCAAAAGGATGAATAAATGTATGAATACGAGTAGATGATACCATGATTAAAAAGAACGAATTGAAAAGTTGAAAATTATTTAAAAGTACTAAACAAGGTAGCAAACGTCTCACATAAAACGTTATAATTTAAAAAAAGATTCAAAATTTGTGCAGAATATCATAAGCGACATCGGTTTATATTTTTAGTAATATCATTCTTCGCACAATTATAATAATATTATTAATAATAAGATTGTTGCAGACTTGAAACTTTGCAAAACTATAGTAGTAGTGCAATAGAATAATGCCATTAATCATAATTATTAAAATAATATAAATTCATGCAATAAATGATAACATTTATTCATGAAAATTCGCTTAAATTAAATTTTTTATAAAAATAATAATGTATTAAATTAATTACTTGATAAGTTTTTGTTTTCGAACTAACAACACAACGATATTATGACTATCAAAGAGCCAAAACTTACTGCCCCTCAAGAGGTTACTTCACTTATTTGCACATACAGTAACAACTGATCAATCTAAGAAGCTAAAACCTGCGACTTTTCTACTTCTATCGTCTGCAACAATTTTGAACATTAAAAATTTTTCCTAGCAAAAATAATTGATGGAATTCTTCGTCCTTAAAATACGTAAATAAATCAACGCTAGCACTGAATACAAAACGAAAACACTCATTGTGATAGCTATGCTTGAAGGAGCAAGTACAGTGTATGTCTGACAGCAGTAATGATAGCTGCAATGATTTTAACAAAACGCATTTGTCTTAATGAAAAAAGTAATAATAATTCATAATTATAGACTGAGATTCAATTAAGTAATATCATTAACATTTAATGACAACATTAACAGTCGTAAAAACAAAATTATAATATCATTAATTGCAATGTTTGTGTGACTATAATTATGGACATCAGTCAATTAAAACACAATCATATTTAATAACAATTCGACAATTAATTCTGAACTGAAAATGAATATATTAATTCCGATGATGCAATTATTAATTTTATCCAAATCTGACAATGATAACTCACCAAAAATGAAATTAACATCGAGATCATAACCAGCATGCTGATGATATGACATGCAAACGAAGTACAGTGCATACAAAATGGCGGATGATAATGCAAAACATGTACCTTGCAGTGGAATTAAATAATGCGATGCTAAGCCAATACCTGTAAATTTGTGCTTAAATTATGACTAAAAATGATGATAATAATAGTGAAAATAATAATAATAATAATAATAATAATAATAATAATGTAAAGAATAGTTATATTAAGGTATTGAAAGAGAAAGTGAAAATGATCTGAAAATGAAAAGAAGAAGAAGAACGAGTTGACTGACAAACGAAAGTGATGGTGATTTTCGATGGTGGATAGTGTGAAACCACCGAAATATCCTTTAAACAGCCTTAATTGCAAACAAAAATAGAGAAATGAACGCTGACATTACAAATTTTGACCTGAATTTAACTGACCTAAACTGACCTTAATGAAAAGTTTGCATTTCCTATTTGTACATCAAAAATTTCATCTCAGTTTCATTTTACAGCTGATACTTTTTCCATTACCACTTTCTTAGAGTAAATTATAAATTGCATGTTAATATTTCTTGTATTATTTTAATTCGGTACTGTCATGCTTTATTTTATTTAAAATTATTTATTATATCTAAAATTTCTTTCTAGCAAAATCATACTTACTCTTAGCATAAACTATCTCCCAGGTTACAGCTCCAGTGAATAAATAAATAGACTTTTGAATCTTCACGTCATTACAATTCAACTTTAGAAGCAAAGAAGTAAAATATGAGATAAGTTGCAGGCATAAAAGTCTCACGAATAAGTTTTTAATTCAAAAGATTTGGCTAACTTACCGATAAGATTACAGAAAAAAAGCAGAAGTTTAGTTAATGTGATACGACCAGCAGATGATGGCATGAATAAAGGCGATAATATCACCATGAATAATGGTGATGAAGCAAAAATAAGATATACTGATGAAACGCTGCCAAAAAATAACGATAATTGATAGGATAATGTGCATGAAATCCACTGTAAAGTTATGATTATGTTAAAGCTCTTAGCATCAATTTATAGCTAGAATACTGATAAGAACAGTTGATAAAAATATTAAGTGTTACTCGTTGTTTAATGAGTGATAACAAACAAAAGTTTAGAAGTATTACTGTGCTTTTTTAAATCCTAATAATTTTGATAATTTCTGAATAATAAGTGATCAGTTTTAGAATAAAATTTAAAGCATTGATGGTGAGCAAAATTTTTAACTTTTCCTCAAATACCTTATTTTTTGATTGTTCGAAAGAAGAATAAGTTTTTAACTTGTGAAAAATTTGAAAAACAAACTTACTAATAAAGACAAGACAACAGAAAATTGTACGTGAGCAAAATTTGTTAGGTATCGTTTGAGATCAGTACTTACGTACGGAATTCTGGCTTGCTTTGCTTCTTCAGCAAGTACTAAAGGCATATGTCGGACTTCTCGAATCTTAACTAAGTTATTTTTCAAATGAGTGTGAAAAATTAAATTATTACAATAAATGTAGGATGAGGATATCAATGATTTTTTTGCACTCTGTTTTGTTTCTTATGCAAAATTTACAAGTAAAAAATTTATACTTAAACATTAAAAGAGTATTTGCATATTTTAAAAAGATAATAATTTTATGAAGATAGAGCCTCAGAAAATCGAACACGACGAGGAGTGCTAATTGAATTCTCAATGTCTTCAGTAGGAATCAACTCGAACTGAGCAGGACTCTGAAGAAATGAGTGATAATAGTGTGATAAATTTTTACTTATCCTAAAGAAATGGAAGAAATACAACTTGATGAACTTGCCAGAGATTCATCCACACTTGATTCTTCTTCTGCCGCTGACGATTCTTTGTAGTTAAAATTGCACTGAAATAAAAATTAAATACAATATGAGAAAATATTGAATTAGTCCAAAATTCGTTCATATTATTAAAATAGCAACAAAAAAAAAACTTGCTCAAATATTAGCATTCCTCAGTAAAAGATGAACTAACTTTAAATAACACAGCTGTCCTGTACTTGTAAAAACAAGGCGCAAAATAGGTTATTAGCATACATAATTTGATATAAGTTGCCAGAAACGGTCGCTTGAAATTAAGACCCATAAAAATGTGCTGAAAATTATTCATTACATAAAATGATATTTCTGCTTGCTGCAGAACAAAAATATATTTGGTTGATCAGTAAACAGCTAATCAATTAATAAAAATATTGAAACTTTGCAAGTGGTGCAAAAGTATATCACAGATAAACAAATAGCGTAAATGCCTTTTTAATAAGATTAGATTATACTTTTCAATAAAACTTTCAAACAAAACTATACAATTAATTTTTGATTATTTTCGAAAGAAATAAGAAAACGATAATCTAAGCTGATAAGTTTTGTTGAATTTTTGTATCGAAATCATCGGTACACAGCATGATTTCATATTTATAGTATCTCTTTTAGATGATTGAAAAATCACTAGTGCATTGACATAAATATATTTTTAGCTTACTTACGTCAAGTGACTTGCTAAGAAATAGTCACTCTATATGTTGACGTGTGTTTATAAAATGCATGCATACCTTTGTGATTTCCGACATAATAATCCATAATATATTAAGAGCAATCAATAACAAGCAACTAAATAACCGCTGACGAGTAAGAAAATTATATACGGAAGGCATCGCAGAGCCAATAAAAATAAGTTCAGCACAAAAATTCTTCGATTTCACTCAGAAGTTTTGCTTAGCGATCTGAAATCACTGAGTTGTAATGTTCAACCAGTACAGTCGTTACAATCATATACATTTACAGTAAAGACCAGATGACTGAACCTGCGAAATTCTTATTTGGCATATATGAAAAATTCGTTTGTTTCTATCGTATGGATTATATTATTTATAATTTGTTGATTTATAAGTGTTAATAGTCATCATTTGACAGGTGAACATAGAGGTAATGAATTAATCAGTCAAGTGAATAAGTAAACAAATAGATTGAGAGATAAATAAGTGCATAAATAAACAAACAAATAGATAAAATAAGTAAATAAATAAATAAAATAAATAAGCTAATAAATAAATAAGTCAACAGACACAAATATAAATGAGTGTGTCATTCAGAAAGTGATCGCAAAAACAACAAAGTTTTCGCCTTTATTTTTTAATTAATATTTTAGATAAAGCGAAAACCGCACGAAAATGCACACTAACTGATTAATGTGCATAAATAAATCAGTTTTTGTGCCAATTTCCAATTATGTTATTTCATATTACGCTTTTAAAAATAGATCCATATTATTAATGGTTTGCAGAATTAATATTTTAGTGATTTTTTTCTTCCTTTAAATTCCGTGATTTAAATGGTGCGGAGAAATGTCTACAATAAACATTTACCATACAAAAATCAGAAGGGTAAATGATCAGTGATCTTACTTTCTCACCTATTTTTATTACAGTCTTTACTGTGAATCAATTTTGTTTTTGCAATCATTTGTTTCAAAAACAAATTTTTTCACAATTTCTATTTTTATTTATCTTATTTGTTTAAGATTAGCACTAGCATTATCTGCTGAAAAAGATTGCAAAAACAAAAATTTTCACAATAATTACTTAATTATTCAGTAATTGAATAATTATTGTGAATTAATTTGCTTCACAATAAATACTCAGTTACTGAATAATTTTTGTTCCCAATTTCTGCATTCAAATTTGGAATGCAGAAATAAGGATAAAAATGGAATTGAATAATTGAGTAATTAAATAATTGCTAACTTTTAAGTGAGCTGTCCCATATGAAAAAAGTTAATCATAATAGCGTAATATTTCTCTCTACATATAGTACGCTGATAAGGGGTTGCTCCTTTCAAGAGCATCAGCACATATCCCCTTATTATTGGCTGACTTCCTGAATTAACCTCTAACCCTACTATCTATGTACTTCTTCGGCTATAGCTTTCGTGATATCCTCGACGGTAGCAAGGAGCTTTAGATCATCCACAAATAATAAATGGTTCGTTACATGCATTCCTTGATCGGTGGGAATCTCCATCTTTGGGTACCCTAATATTGAACCCAGCGCTCAACGAGCCATGCATAAAACGGACAACAGCGTTTATGAGCAAGTATGAGATTCATGCTCCGCATACACTTCTCGGATATTTTCATAGCATTGTTATGCCAACTGCAGTTACCTACAAGATCGGTCATTGACTTGGAAGGATTCTGTTCATATATGTGATAAATTCACCTGCCGCTTGGTTCATCGCTACAAGTATGAGTGGGTCAACATTTTCCGATATTAGTTTCTGCGTGAACTTTGTTTGGTCTATACCACGTCCTTGGGCTTCTTGTATCAGCGCAAGGACGTGGTTTGTTACGTCTATATGAACTTTAGACTCATGTAAGTATTGTCAAGTACCTTGACTTCCCGAAACGGTTAAGCACCACCTTCAGCATTTTCCCTGTCCAGTTACTCTGCGGTACCTCAATTCCTCGAATGAGTACTTCGAGCGCAATCATCGTGCTGGTTCCTGGTTCGGTACACTGGCGGAGTGCTCTCTCACATCCTTCAGGGAGCTTTCTAGGCTTCATCTGTTTTCCCATTGTTTTCTATCATACGTATATATACATATATAATCACATCACTAAATTTTAATTTTGAATTTTAATCACATTTATAGATGAGAGTGTTAGTGAGCAATACTTATCATTAATTTCAAATATGAAACATAAATTAAGCAGCGTTTTCATATATTATCAGCACAAGCTTTGCTTGTTCACAATCCATCTTCTGCTCTTTTTCATTCATTATTATGAGCGCTAAAGTTCTCAAATGAATTTTTTGTGCTTCTTCGCATACTTATTCTGTTATTCCCTTATTACCGAATACATTTCTCGTCAGAATATGAATCTGCATATTTATTTACATTACAATATGCATACAATTGCATATGTACTTGTTTTCACTTGTGTACGTGAGTGATTGTGTCTGCATGTATACATAAAGTAGTATGCAAAATTTCCGAGAGTAAATGTGATATCTACTTGTGTAATATACATGTGTGTCTGTGTTTATATATTGTACATGTGAAAAAAGTTTTGCAAAGATACGAAGAGACTTAGCAATGATAAGCTGAGTCTTAGCTAAAATTCAGAGCAGTTAGATATAAGTAAGTAACTTACTAGCTAACTAAAACTAGCCACCAGTACAAACGTTTGCGATGATGAGAAAGTATAGTAGTATCAATCAATGACTGACTGACTAAGAAAGTCAAGAGAATAAGCGAGTAAAAGCAGAGCTGAGTGTCAGAATAAATAGATCACTAAATCGCTCTGGTTTATTAGCTGCTTGCTGTATTATAACTACTGCTCTACATCATCAGATTATATCAATTCAGATCACCTCAGCATGATTATGGGACAGTGTGAAGTAGAAATGGCTGAATCGAATGCATCTGCGCTTTATGCTTGTCTTCCAGGTACTTCTACACTTTATCATAAAACACGCTTCATTATTTATTAGTCAATATATTATTAACATCTTTTTATTTTCTACTCTTGGCTATTCTACACATTCAGTCGACATTTTCTCTTTACTGAAATTAATTTCCACAACTTTCTGACTATCAGTTATCACAAATTGATGTATTTGAAGATTGTTAATGGATAAAATTATGGGGACATTTGTCATCTCTGAAATAAGTTTTATAATTAATTAAAGGAGAATATTTATTTTGTTGTGTTGTGGGGTAGCGATGAGTTCAAATTGAGAAGGCCAGAGCGAGGGAATATACAAAAGTTGTCAAAGCTACGATTAGATCAACAGATAGATAGATATTCACTCTCTCTTAAAATATAGTCAGAAAACTAAACTTTCCTCCGATTCTTGCAATGAAAACGAAATATATGAGAACGCAGTAAACACTGATCACTTACTTTAATCACTTCTGCTGTCTGCTGCTGACAAATTACTGAATTTATATATATATATAATTTTACACTATTTCTAATCGCAACTTGTACTGAGGAATTACATGGCTAGTTACATGTCTAAACCGATATATATTGACTTAATTCGAGCGAGAATAACCTCGAATCAAATCAATATGTGTACATATGTTATAAGTTTTGTGATATGAATAAATTTTTTGACGGTACTTTGTTGTTGCGAATAAAAGACAAAGAAACTGCTTATTTTCTGAAGGGACAGAGCATGCAAATTGTGACAGTTTAATGCTGCTTTAATCGGATAAACCTTTGAATGGTGTAGATATTTATTTGTGATTTCTGTGATATATGCTGAAGAATAATAGATAGAGATCAAATTTGCTATCATTTTTCAATTCCATTACATAAAGTTCTCATTTGGTTCTTATTTTTGATTTTATTTGCTTTGATGAATTTGATCAAACTTTTAGCAACAAATCTATGATTATGTGATTTGATTAAAAGATTATTTAAATATTAAATTTTTTTGTAGTCATAAAAGTGCTATTAGCATTGAACTGCTTGAAGATTTCCAACATTTAGAAAGCTTATTGTATGTGAAAGTATCAAATAAAAATTTATTGAAGTTTTGAAATGTATGCGAATTATTAGCTAAGAAAGTATCCTACAAATAAAACAGAGATAGATTTTGATATCAGTAATAATAAGACTGTGTGTATTTATTGACAGTAACGATTATACTTTTTATAATTATACTTGAAAAGATAGAAAGTAATTTAGTCTTTGAAAGTTGTGAAAATATCTTCAGTGTAAAATAAGTCTATGAATAATGCTAAAACGTTCCCATTAACATTTAAGAGCTGTAAAGAGTATCGTAATGTGTATTTCGAGGAAGAAAAAAGTTTCGCTTATCAAATTCTGTCTTGAATAATAACGCATTATTAATATCAAAATGTAATGTGAATTGTACGTTTGTTTAAAAAAAGTCATTTTTAAATATTCATTTAGATTTATGTGAAATTAACATTACAACCAGAGAAACAATGCGAGCAGAAATTAAATCAGCTGTACGTGAGATTGAAAATTACCAGAAATCAAATTTTTTACCCTTACTGTGTGGTATGTATATCACTTACGCTTATTTACTTATTATAATAACGTGTACGTCAATTTCGCAGTAGTATTTCCAAAGTTTAATAAAAAGCTTTCTGAAAATAATCATAATAAGATAGTTGTTTGTTGTTATTTCAAACTACTCCTTACTGCTTATTCACTGCAGTGTTGAAAAAACTTTGAAATGATTTTCCTCTGCTTAGATTATGATCATAGAAGCAAGAAGTTAGCAACAGCTGAAGATAATTGCGCTATTAAATCATTTTAGCTGAACAAATTATAACAAAATGGCAGTTTTGGGATAAATAATTGAAAGTAATATTATTTGAAATGAAATGTGAAGTAAGTGATCATTGCATGAATTACAGCACTGCACTTCCAAATGTATTTGCTTGGAAAAATTACCTATTTTGTTCATATGTGCTTTTAAATAAATTCTGATTCATTTCCTAACTTAATGCTAGTTTTTTTAATTCCATCTTTTATACGAATTCAAAAAACAGAAAAATGCATTCAACAAACTATCTGTGACGTGACCTCCGCAGATCTCCTCTCTATACTTACTATTATAAATTCCCAAATATGCTCATGTTTTTCAATTTAGTTCACTTGAAATAGATGCATTTTATGTTACTTTCATTAAAAATTTGTTCTAAAGTGAGAGAAAAGCACGGAATAAATAATTTTGCTTATAATTATACGAGTAGTCACTCCTAATTGCTGATTATTATCTCATTTGTGTATTTTGATTTAATCAAAAACAAAACTTTGCCGTAAAAACTATTCGCTTAAAAGAAGGTATGAATTATTAATTCACTTAATAAATAACAGTAAAGTACTAATTATCTCTCGAAGTATGCATTAGGTGTGCAGTTGTGGTGGAAATTTTACTTTTCATCGGTATTATTTTGAATAACGGAAAATTTTTTATAGTGATTGCACATATGAGAAATGAGATTATGTAGTTCAGTTTTATACTAAAAATACAAATAGACTTCATTGAATACTGTACATTCCGATATTATTTAAAACAAGTCGCAAAATATTATCAGAGTAAGTCTGTGAATTATAATTACTACAGAAGGAAAGTTATAAAATTAATTATGTGATAGACAATTTAATGTAATTAGCATAAGTTACTATTTATTTTCAGATATACAAAATGCCATTTGTGAAGAATTTCAAAGTGCGGAATGTAGCGTGGAAATATCGCCTGAATTGAATGCACCGCCTTTTAATTTACCATTTCACGCATTAGGCAAAAAGATCCATTTGTTACCGTCAGGCTCTGTGATACCAAAGGATTTCTATGAAGTTTCATCTACTTCGGTAGGTCAATTTACCTGCTCACAAGCTTTCAAAAACTTTTTCTGCTTCTCACTAAATTTTTGAAAGAAAAATAAATTTTCAAAAGAAGGTTTTTTCAAAAATTAAGTCTTTTTATTTCGCGTAATCAATTTAAGTAATAAAAGCGCTCGACCATATATGGAGTTAATGAATAAACTAACTAATATAAAAGTTGTAATTCTTTTGCAAGTTTTAGTTTATTTAAACGAGCTTGTAATTTACAACTTACGTAAATGCTAACAATGTTTTATTAGATCTTGTAAAATTTTCAAGTTAGAAAGTTATGTAATTATTAATGAGACAAAAATTTATTTTAATTATTGAAAACGAAAACGAATAATAATTAATCATTTGAAATTTAAGAAAATTACCTTTTTATTTTCACTTTTTGTTTTTTTACGTAATTTTCTGACTTAAAAATTTTACAAGATCTAATAAAATGTTGTTAGCATTTACGTAAGTTGTAAATCACATGATTTTGCAGTTATAAAATTTTTTTCAGTATTTTCAAGAAGACTTTCTTTAAATTACATTACAGGAAGGAGTAATTGCTTCAGATGGACTCTCAAGCGAATGTTTACATTTAGTGTTGGAAGGTGGCGATGATTGGAGAACACCTTTGCAGCAAGTCTTCGACAAGAAACTTAACCTTAATTGGTGCTTTCTAGTAATGGAGTTACAGTCAGGTGTAACAAATTTTCACATACTTCGAACACAAACGAAATCAGTGAAAAGTTACAATGAATGTACCATTTTATGGTTAGCTGAAGTTAAAGAAACACCGATAGAATCATCAAAACCAAAAATTGTCAAGAAAATTGTAAAAAAAGTGGTAAAGAGAACAAGTATAGATGGAGAGGCTAAAGGAACCAAAACTGCTTCTGTACAAAAAATTCGTAAAAAAGTTTCTACATCATTAGCAGCTACTGCAACAACAGCAGCAACAACAGCAGCAACAACAACAACTACTACTACAACAACAACAACAACTACTACTACTACTACTGCTTCAGATATTGGCACCAATATTAATAACGATATTACTGCTTGCGATAATAATGAAATTACTCAAAATGTAACTAACATCGTTACGAAAGCTGATAATATTTCTACCAGCAACAGTGAGAATAAAACTTTGATGCCTTCAAAAGTACGAACTTCATCAAAGTCAGATACTACAACGTTTGATAAGAATGCAGTTAATAATGGCTACAGTTCTGTCGATTCAGGAGTTTCAGTGTTTGATTCAGACACTGAGAAATCAGCGAAATCTATCAAAATTAATGAATTTGACGAGATTGAACGTGTGTCTCCGATGGTAGAACGTACGGATTCAGCTATTGGTGATTACGTTACACCGCGAACGACCCCTGACCGCACTTCCAAAATGCTTTTGAGATCTATTGATGACATTGTTAGTAAACACAATATAAGTACTGATAACAGCGATACCAAAAATATTATAAGTACTAGTGATAATGCGATAATAGCTGAAGCTCAAGATCTTTTTGCGTCATTTACAATGCGTCTCAGTAACAGTAGTAATAGTAGTGATAGTAATAGTAATAATAATAGTGCCATAGTAACAGGCTATAAATATGAAATGAATCAAAGGATGGAAAAAATTCTTGAGGAAGAAGAAAAACAAAAAGTTGAAGATTGGAAGCGGCAAAAGAATTTCTCACTTACTAATGGCCGTAGCACACCAGAAAGTCACATACATAGACGTCCCCCTTTGGCTTCAGACGTTGCAAAATGTTCACGTGGCAATTCAGCTTTCATTTCTACACTTTTATCTGATGAATTTGGTAGTCAACAGAGGTGAAAATTTTTTTTATTTTAAATCAAATTCTGTATCATGAATTGGTAGAAATTAATAACGAAAATAAAACATGGCATTTGATGTACGGCGAATAATTCAATACTGATTTTAAATTTAACTCAATAGTATGACATTTGTACAGTTATGTTAACGTAAATATTTGTTGATTTTAAATACAAGATGAAAAGACTTTAAAGTAAAACTTAGGCTAGCAGATATGCGCAAAAGATATTTATTAGTACAAACAGTGAATAATTTGGAATGAACTTCTGTAAGTAAATCAAGATGGGATAGGATCATCACGAAGTATGACTAGCAAAGTATCCAATGCAGTATTTTTCTAAACATTTAGTGTATAGCAAAAATTAGTTGTATCCATCATAAATCCCGAGGAAACGAACAAATCTTTTATTTTTGATCTTGAAAAAAAATGGAAGATTGATCATGAATGATCAATTTGATCTTCATGTGTAATATTAAGCGAATGTCAAGATTTTATATATTTTCCAGTTTTCAGGCCTTCTTCTAAAGATGATAAGTTGGAAACACAAAGATCAACAGATGAAGAGATATCTTCAGTGCAAATACTACAGTTAATTCTCAAGCAATTTACATACAAGGAGGTAAAGTATCTATTTGCTATTGGCATTCACGAATTATACTTGAAAAATATCATTCAATTCGAACTATTTTTCTAAAGGTTCATAAGATTCCAAATATAAATAATCTCAATGATATAATATCAGTGACATATTGTGACGAAAATTTCAAGTGAATTTCTGCAGAAAATTTCGAAAAATTAAGCTTAATTTTGTGATTGCGTGCAAATAATAGACTGAAAGTTAAATATAACTGTACATTAAATGTAACTGAAAGTAAATATAACTGAAAGTGAAAGTTTAGTTAGGTGAGCTAAGACAAGTTCATCCTCATTGGGATGAATTGTGTGGTCAGCAGTTAAACAGCGGTTACTATGCAGTGACCAAAAAAGCAGACAAGCTATTAACAGATTGCCAAAGACGTGTACATTCCCAGCCTGATCTTCAGCAGGTTTTAACACTTCTCACTAGCGTACAGGTCCATATTATTAATCGTGTAGATATGATACGGCCAGCTATAGATGAAGGTTACTTTAACAAATGTTATTTTTCACGTTTTTCAAAGAATAATTCAAGACTTATGAAGTTTAATGCTTATTTAATGAATTGTTTAGTATTATTTATAATTATAACAACTTCAACTACAGTATCTTAATTTTTTGACGATAAATCTTTTTTCTTAAATTTAGAAAAAGCAAAGTTGCATTATAAATTATGCATAAATTGATGTGTTAAAGGTGTTTGTTGTTTTCCTTATGGTTATTTACTCGACCAAATATTCGATATCATTGAAAAAGTACAGGAAATGATACAGGGCAAGCAAAATGTTAGTCTACATAATCTTTAATTGCTTTACAAAGATAAAATATAACTGTACGTTTAGTGAAATTCAAAAAATGAATGCAAGAGTAAGTGGAATGAAAAAAGTCAAATTCACTGAACCACTGAACCACTGAACCTATCATTTCTAGCAAAGTTCAACTGGAATTCGGAACAATGACTGAAAAAATATAATTTTTATGTTTTTATTTTAGATTTATGTCTTATACCGTTTATAGTATTTTGAAAAATAAGTAAAGTTAGAATTCAGCCCTATTGATTGATATGAAAAATTTTGTGTGATATGGGTGTATGTATATGCTTAAGTATAATTTTTTTAATGCAATAAAATTTTATTGAAAAGAATCTAAAATTGTAAGAGTGTTTAATGAAAAGTCAGAATATGTGTGTATACTAAGAATAATTGTATTTTCACGAGTGCAATTCTTTATAATAAATTATTACAGTGAATGATTGAGCCATTTTTAATTGTTGCTAATTTAAAAAATTTGCACAGCAGGAATAATAAAGCTAAGAATTATGTATATTTCTATATTTATGCTTATTTACTTAAATTGTAAAGAAAACTATAAAATATGATGGGAGTTAATTATAGGGTATGTGAGTTAATTTAAAAAAACTTACTTTGAATTGTATGAGATTAAACATTTGATACTTAAAAACTATTGATTACGTAAGATTTGGGGGTTATTTTGAGTAAGACAAAATGCGTTGGTTTTTTAGGTGACGATAAATTGGAAAACAGTGGCTGAATTGGCAAGAAAAGCACAAATTCATTACAAACTGAATCTGGAAGCAGTGATGGAAGAGAAGTTGGGAGAAGTAGTCAGACTGAAGGCACTGCAGTCCATCCAAAGAATTGATAGTTTCATGATTGATTCTACTGTTACCAAACTCGAAAAGTTTCTTTTTTTAAATTTATTACTCAGTAAGATGGAATGCTGTTTTTGAACATAATTTGATACTATTTTAAGTAAGTACAATTTGAATTAAAACTTAAGCTAAAAATCATTTGCAGAAGAAAGAAATGAAATATTAACTAGAATTGCTGCAAGTATCAAAAGTATGACTACTTCTAAGAACTCTTTGTAACCTTCCTTCGGCATAATTAAGCTTTAATTACTCTTACAACATAGTAATTAAAAAAATTAGTAATTTTGTATTGCTGAATAAGATCAATTCGCTGAGATCGCTGAGTAGAAAAAAGATTTTGCCACAGTTTCTGTTTGCCTTTTAAGATTGCTACATTTCAAGAATATCTGCACTCTGAAAGTAAGAAAGGATACTGAAAGCATATTCTGATTGCTAATTGTTTTCGAAACTAAGACTTTTGAGGAGAGGAAGCGGCGCTATTTTAGTGATATTTTGATTTGTGGCTGAAAATTAGTAAATTCGAAAAGTATACTTTCCGAGTTATTATTTAGCCTTCCTCTCAATACATATTTAGGACAGAAAGTATTGAAGAATGAGATTGCATATGCATTTGTATAAGTAAGTATAACATGCAAGTGTATTAATTTCTGTGCAACTGTACGAAAGAGAAAAGCAAATTTAAGTGGGAGAGAAAATATATTTGTAAAAAGTGGTTGAAAGTATTAGAATGGGAAGTAACTAAAGACGTGAAGAAGTTATGAGTAAAGCTATTTGTTCACTGCCACTTAAAAAGTTGCAAAGTTTAATGAGAAAATATGTGCAGAAGTTTGTTATTCGAAAAATATAGCATAGATATAATAATTTACTGCCAACTTCACTTTTCACGTTTGCGAAAAATAAAAGAAATGATAGGTGAAGGAAGTGGATATTATATTTTGGTATGAAAAGTTTTTTCAATCAAAGAAAAATGAATACTTGACGTAAAGTTTTTTAGAGTGTATAACAATGAATAGAATTGTAATTAAGGCAGAGAGTGATCTGCTCTGTGCAAAACATCTTGAAATTGCGGTTAAAGAACTAAAGTTAAATTTGAATTCTGATTTTTAAGCTGAAGAAAAAAGTAATTGCAGGGCAGCACACATGGCACGAGATGATTTGGAGTGGGAAATTGAACAATTGAGGCATCAAAATGCACAGCTGAAAAAGGATAATCGAGAACTGAAGAAGGATTGCATGAGGTTAGAAGCACGAATTGAAATTATTGAGAACAAATTCAAGACGATGGCACGATTGCTTCAGTAACTGTACTATAATTTGACTAATTACTACTCATAATCAAAGTAAAAAAACAAGTCTCACAGCCATTATAAGTGCATTATTTATCATCTATTATTATTATTATTATTATTTGTTTTTCATTCATTATTTATTATTATTATTATCACTATTATTATTACTATTAACTGATTAAGTTTTACTATTTTGAATCCAATTTATAACAAATAATTAAGGCAGTAAAATTTGTATAATCTATCTGATAACGATATGCAAATAAATTACTTGAAACTCGGGCTAATGTACTCTTGCATTTAGACATAATCAGTAATGAAATAGTAGTTTAACCAATTATAATTTAACAAAATAAATCCACAATTCCTGTAAACTTACTTATCTTTAATAAATTAATTCATAATATTTTTTGTACTACTTTTTGTTTGACATGGGAGTGAATATGCAAATAAGCAGAATCCGGAATGAAAAGTAATGGTAATTACAATCTGTGTTACTAAAACAGTGAGATTACATTAGTCCGTTTACATTCCACACTCTCGATAAATAACATAAAGGAAAACTAAACTAGCCATGCAGAAATTGTTTCACGAATAAAATAATATGTTCACTTCCGAAGAATTATTGTTTGCAAAAAAGTGTATTTGAAATTATTTCAGCACGTTAAGTGAAACATTGGGATTGAAAAGTAATGTATTTTGCTTGCTGATTATTAGTTGAACAGTTTAATTCAAATTTTAATGAAGTTAAACTAGTAGCAAAATGTGAAAGTAAGTCAAAAAATTAAACGAATCTGAAGAAAGAGGAATCTGAATTTAGAAAGGCATTTGGCTGCACATTACTCACCAGCACACCGCATAATACAGTGATAATGCAAGTAATGATAATTCTGCGATAATTTTATCAAGGATTGAAATTACATTAAGCATACATTGTAAATGCAAGTTTATGAGTGCCAAATGTATTTTGGGCATTTCTCGCATTCATTTTAATAAACTTTATTTACATATTTGAATGTTTAAATTATCTTTGACTAAATTTGCTGACTACTAAATTATAACAGATAGAGTGTGTAAAAAATTTTATTTTTCATTTTACTGTTGAATTTTTGTTGCAAAACAATGTGGAACAGATTGAAAATTTACTAAAATGTTATGAAGTGAAGAAATGATTTGCTCAGTTTTTTCAGTAGTGTAGAAAAAATATTTTTAGAAGAATAGCAATGGAATAAATATTTTGAACAATAAATTAGTTAAACTGATTACAGATAGCAGAACCGAATTCAAATTCAGTAAGAATTGGAATCAGTATTGCGTGTTTAATTGTCATGAAAATATTTGATTAGTTGAAATTTAATTACTTCGAAGACTATTGTAATCTCGTTATGGATTATACATTTATTAATTTAAGTTTGAAGTTGCAACAGCATTTATTCTGAAATTACTGACAACTTGTTCAGTATGGAAAATTATCGACTGTATTCAAAATTGTAAACAATGAATAAATAAGCAGTTTGAGTGAAAAATGCGAGATGACAAATTATTGATAATTACGCATTTCCCACTACAAAGATCCTTCCAATTCTTGTTAACCTACAGTGAACAAGGTCAAAACAGGTTAAAAAGTACAAATATTTTGTTAACATCTCAATCCTTTTGACCTACTTTACATTATTTCAATCTAACAACAGCAATGTTGACCAAATTAAAGAAACACACACAGCTCGAATAACTGTCTAACCCACCTAGTCTTTCTCGCTGTATGATATTTGCTGACTTCGTTTGCTACAAAAGTTGAACTAGCAAATTAAGAAAATAAATTCTGTGTGAAGTTTATATTTAAAACGCATAAGGTTTTCAACAGAATTATAGAGCAGTGTTGGCTGTACTTAAAAATTACCTCGTAAGAAAAATATTTCAATTTCTGGCAGAAAACAAAGATTTGTTTACACAAAACAATATTCAGCTTTGATAGTTTTAGTTTTTGCCGCTAATTTTTGAACTTAAAATTCAATTTAAATTTGAAAAACTAATCACTCATGTTTTATTATTTTTGCATTGATTATTTTAAAAGGGAAAATTTATTCATTCATGTCTGTTCTTTGCTTCATTTTCGCAATCAATTCTCCAATTATTTCCACAATGCATCCACTAACATTACTTCAGCTACACAAACTGATAACCAGCGAGATAATGAATGCCAGAATTAAACAAAAGAAACGACGTGTTCTTACAAGTATAGCGAAAATTGTAATTGCTACAATTTATAAGTCTTATTAAGAAAACGGATTAAAGTGCTGAGTATTGTTTTTTTTAAACAATTTCTGCATATCTATCTAATATGTCAACATTTACCATATTCTGATATATTCTGATTATGTATTAGTACTACATCCATGTAGTACTGAAGTAACATCATGCTGCCATATTTGTCAAGTTTTTAGAATGCAGCCTTTGTTTAGGCCTAATTTTTCTAACAGTATCTTTGGCAACATGATATTACTTCAATACTATATGATTAAACTTTTTGCACGCAAATAAGTGGATTAAATGCATACGACAAGAAAGTAATACTATCTGCGAAGTTTGAATGAATTTGCATAGACTGTCAACAAACGCAACATGTCATTACAGTAATGTATCATAAAAATCACTACATTAATACATCGTACAAATAAAGGCTTTATTAGGAGTCAAAATATGAGAGTTACGATGTAAGAATGAAAAAGAAGAATGACTCTCCATAATAAACGGATTAAAAATAGTAACAATAATGGTAATAAAATAAAAATAAAAATAATATCAATAACAATAATAATGAAAATAATTAAGGAAGTTGATGAAAAGATGAAGGCGCATATCAGGGGAATACTTTTGTTTAGAGGACAAATTGTCAGATGGGTTCAGCAATAAAATGGAATTATTATTTGGCTGACTAGTTCGAGAGAGGCTATGAGAATAACATAGGGAACGAACACAAGTCATAAAAGACTTGGTAAGTCAATCTAGTTTAGACTAAAAGACTCAAAATAAGCTGTGTCATGGCATCAGCAAGTCAGACATTATTCAATCTACTTCAAAGGATATGAAAAAAAGAGAAGTTTCCTGAAAATATTACAGTTTCTACGTTTTCATTAAAACGTTAGCAGTAAATGATAAACGGATAAACAAATAAATATTTGTTGTGATGCAAATGAAGACTGAAACATATATTTTCTTCAATAGACACCCTATTACTACTGCTGAAACAACCAACTGATTCTGCAAGTAATCAGAAATAGCTGATCAAAATGTGTGAGGTACATCAAGATTTCGACGAATATTTGATTACAATTGAATTTATTCTCGTAAAATTCAATTAGATTATTTATCAATGATAATAATGCATCTTACTATAGTATTAAAAGTTAGTATCAATCAAAATAACAAGCACATTTTGTTTTAGGCTTTACAATTTTCAAGCAAAATATCATCGGTATAGTAAAAGAACTGAAATATTCTGTTCTCGACCTTTTAAATAGTCAGTTACTACATAGATCTACGACCTGAAGCCAAGTACAAGTAATATCTTTTAAGAATAATATTCAATAGCATTTTCCAGTAAGCAAAATTATCCCATGCATGAATTAGAATTTAATAGTAATAGGCTGATTAATTAGAACATAGGTTTCAAATGTCAGTTAAGAAAGAGAGCTCATTAACAATATCAAATACTCTACAAGCGTATTAATCAGCTTAATACTATTTTTAAACAAATTTGAAAAGATTTCCACACATACAAAAGCTCTTCATGTAAAAGCCTGATAAAAAATATTTCTTAGACAGCCCATAATCAATCCCGTATTCCACAACTTGATATGATAATAATAAATACAAGCAGTTGGAATACAATACTATTCAAATAATAATGAAAGTAAGATAATGAGAATTAAAGAAAGACCCAAATATGATACTTTTAACAGAAAAAAATCAGACTTGAAATGATTTTTCGATATACTTTTTTCATATAGGAAATATTATAGCATTTATATAGCAAACTCGAAATCAAAAATTTGAATTGCTACTGCACTACTGGCTTTCCCAATTTTGAGTTAAGAATGAGCAAAAAAAGTACCTCCAAAGCAAAGGTAATCGAACAAAATAATTTATTTTGCAACGACTTAATAACTATCGGTCTCGAAATAAAATATTTTCTACTTCCACAATTGCAACTGCACTATCGACTTTCCTAATTCTGAGCTGAGAGAGAGCAAAAAAATATTTTGAGAGCATTGTTTTCTGCAAATCTTTCATAAAATCATGAAAATGGTGACAAACATGGGTGTTTAAAGTAATCTGTAACAGATTTAGAAATATATATAACTTTCAAATGTGCTGACCATCATTTGAGCTTTCGTAAGGCTATAAATATTTTTAAATAAAAAAATAAAACAAGTTGAAGTTAATGCTTTTAACGAAACCTGAATAGAGTCAGAAATTTTACGCTTTTCTTCATTTTCAAGACCATCTCTCCACTTGCTTGCCGCATCAACAGCACTTCCTGGCACATCAACTAAAAAGAATGCCTAAAAAGACATGAAATAAATCTCTCAGAATACTTGAGAGGATAATACAAAGTTTGATTTTATAACACATGTTAAAAAGTAAAGAAAAATTGTCTTCAATGAAATGTTACTATTATGTAATGTCATTTTTCGATCTCAAATGTGGAAACAAAACATATGACTGAAACTACTTACATTAATAGCAATAAAGTAAATTGGACTCATAACTTTAAGTTTTTCTTAATATCTGACCAGAATGTATTCTGATTCAAAAATATTATCTACATTTGAAAAGATAATTAATTATTAAGTTGAACATCAGCTTAATGGATAAAATAAAACGCACCAGCAGCGAAAGAGGAAATAAAAAATGGAGCATTTTTTCGTTATGCTTCTGAAACACATGAATTGTAAAAGAAGAGAGATTAAGGAAGAATGTTTTTCAGTTAAATACAAGAAGCAATGAAAAATAATAAAAAACCAACTGTAAAAATGTAAAAATTATAAGCAGAGTTTAAAACACTTGTGATACTCACCACACTGAATTTTGAATCATTAAAAACCATGTAACACTGCAAGTAAAGCCGCGAGTTTTCCTTTCCTGTAACAAGAATCATTGATGTATGTTAAATAATTTTGTAAAAAAAAGAAAACTGATTCATTATCGAAAATAAAATTCCAATGAAGTCATATACAATTAATTTATTTCTATGGTAGGATAATTCAAGTCAATTATCAGAATTTAAAGCATAAAAACAATTGGAGTAAGAATATTAGAATTAATGTTTATTTATAACTTGTTTCAGTTCAGTTGTTTCATCTAAAAGAAAGAGCTTTCTTAACCCCAAAATAGCTAGACACTAAAGAGTATGAACAAAAAAACACTTATCGTACTTTGGAAACAAGCTGGACATAAAGAATATATTCCACATGATTTTACTGAAACGGTAAACCACAAATCACAAGTGAGACAAATTAATGCAAAAACTGGATCAACACAATCAAATGCCAGTGATACCAACCAACTATAAATTTATTAAGATCATGGAAACATGATATTTGTAAATGTTGCTTTAAATTTTGCCATATAATCAAGGTTCAGGTAGTAAAATAATAGTAACGAGATCCATAATGTAATGGTAAGAAAAGGATTTCTATACATGTCTGCTCACTTACTGAAAGAAATTAGCAAGATAGTGCATCATTAATATATTTTTCATCTTAAAAAATGCAGAAAAACCTTGATAAACTTAGTGAGGTCCCTGGGATAATACATTTAATAAATTCCCATGACATATTATTGCTCGCTTTTTGTTTGTTATGGTTTACACAATTTTCTCTTATATTCATTATGTTGCATGGTATACTGATTTTCGGATGAATATTTAACTGAAAAACAGTGATATCTGATTTGGTGAATTTAGAACTAAATGAATCATCTATTCTGGTACAATTAAAATATGCATATACTTTTTTACCATTTTAAACATGTCCTCATAAGTACTTTCCAGACAGTTCAGCAAATATCGTTTTAATAAATGATCCCGTGAGGAAAGCGACAGTTTACAAATATTTCTCGGAAAATCTAGAAAAAAATTTTCAAAAGCATGAAGCAATTTCTTACAATTCATTCCTTTGCTAAGATTTAAAAACTTAAGTAATTAAAATAAACTAAGAATTCAATAGCATGATTTAAAAAAACTTAAACAATCAGAATAAACACCTTTATTTATTCTTTCCAAGCGATTAAATGCATTAGTCATTAAGAATTCAGCTCCTTTACTTGCAAGAGCATATAAATGATGAAGTAATGCAGATGGAAAAGAACCATTTTGCAGTGAAATTAATTTTTCTATTACATATATTGCAATCCAATCTAGCTGAAGAGCTTTTATCTGACACTGCCTTGAATTAGTCACGAAATGAGCTTCTTCACATATCTGTTCCATGATAGCGTAATCATTAGAAATAGAAGTATTCGTGGTCAAAGCCTATAATATTTATCACAAAATGAATGTGAAAATTTATAATCTGAAAAAGTTTGCAATCTCCACTAACTACTAAAAAATATAACCTAATAACATCAATAATTGTTTCAATAAATGAATGAGAGAGAAGAATTAATTATAATCTTGCAACATAAATAAAGGAAATCTTCCCATCCATTTTTTATAAAATATGGAGAAATGACAGAATTTATACGTAAGTGTAGTTAGAGCTCAAAACATAATTCCACGCTCAGCAAAAACAAATAATGGCACATCATTTACAGATGACTTTTTTGTGCAACTATAAGAGCTTTTGCAGTTGACTTCTGAATGTCATCACTTGGATAAGGAGATAAAATTACATTTGCTTCATCTTCTACAGTCATTCTTGGCTCAAGAGAAGAGTCAAATAATTTCTGTTTTAGTGTTTTTCTATCAACGAAAAATTGGAGTTCTCTGAAAAATAAAATAAAACTGGACTTGACGGCAGTAAATCAATTATTACTTGTGATATTTCAGTTCATGAATAATTTGATGCCATTCTATAAAAAGAACCTAATTAAGTGCACTTAATGAATTTTTTGAGCACATAATAATTAAATCAAGCATAAAAAAGAGAGTTTCAGTATGGAAAATAAATAAAACTTTTAATTGCCAAGACCTGAACCGAAAATTCGTACTTGAGTAACATTGTTTTTGCAGGTGAAAGATTATCCAAAATTATGGACCCCCTGTTATAACGTTTTCCACCTTCATGAACGACTAGCATACTGTCATTTGGAGATACATAATAATGAACATTAACAAGAAGCAATACATCACCAGGCTAAATTCAGCAGATTCAGAGCCAATTTTCGATAATTTCTTTCCAACTTAGTCTTTTAATACAAGCAAGATATATTTTTATTCTTGGAACAATTTTTTCAAAATTTATAAGTCTTCAATGTTCCATAAACCTATTCATCTTTTACAACTGTTTTTTTTTTGGAAAATATATAAAATTAAATTACCATGACATTATTTTTTAAGTACTCTCCGTGTTCACTGTAGAAAATTATATCGCAACGATATTCCTTGGCTAGCTTATCCAACTCTTGATCAATTTGTATGACTTCAGATATATTTTCGTTCTTACAGAAAAATGCGCAACTGTAATGTAAAAGCTCAAGGATTTTGAAAATCAGCAATTATAGTTTAGAAAAAAACTTTTTAAAACTAAAGATTTCAAAAAATTTGTAATTGCAAATATTAAGTTAAAATTGACGATAAAACTGGTAAATGATCTCTTTTAACCATCATTTGTCAGGAATAAAAGTTTAAAATACTTGTATTTGACAAAAACAATTACAAATTTTTTGACATTTCACAAAATTGTAAATACCTGGGTGGTGTTGTAGCATCCCAACACCGTAATATTACATTACCCATATCACCGACAAATACTGATATTGCCTGTAATTTTTTAACATACAAATCTTGAAAAGTAGCTTTATAAAATTCCTTTGTATTCACCTGTACGACGATATTGTGATATTTATAACGCATAAGTTGGTTTAAGCGGCAAACTGCTATATTATCGACATTGGACACTGATAACATTCGTTCAGAAGATAAACTTCCTTGTACATTATTGATGTAATCTTTTAAAACAGCAATCTGGAAAACAATCTGAATTAAAAAAGGGAAAGCGTTACTGAAAGACATATTTTATAAGCATAGATGGAAATACATTTTTTCCAGTGACTAATCAATTTTTGCAAAAATAACATGAAATTTACCATAAACATATGAACAATAAATACTGATGACAACAATGCTTTATTATAGACCAAAACATCAGATATTAATTTAGGAATAAATTATCAACCAAACTGACTACAAATCCTATTAATATTAAAATTATTGTGAAAAATATCGCACTGAACTCGCCTTTTCATTGCAACTTTCAGATAATGCATAATTAGTACATGAATGATAAACGATAACAACGTCACTAACAGGTTGGTACTTCAGTAATACAACTGTGAATCCATCTATATTTAACTTTCCGCATAACGAAGGTGGCCTTCCAGGTTTTCTTTGAACCTAGCAATACAAAATTAATTAGGAAGAACAGAATACTTTTTCGTACGTATTTATACATTGATTCACCGCCAATGCGAAAAAATTAATCAGAAAATGAGCTTATATAATTATATTATTAATTTTTAACTTCATTTTGTGATGATAGGAAAACATACGTGAATCTTATCAAGTATGATGATTTGGCCAACTTTAATTTTTTTGGAAAATTCATCCGTTGGTTGGCTATATACAGTACACTGTGTGAAACAATTTACACTTGAGTCAGACAAAAACAAATTAGTGGCTAACTGAACTGAAAAAAAGAAAATTTACAGTTTCTACCATCTTTTTATGATTAAGAATAGCAACTAGCATATATAATGAGATTGACATAGTGAAAAATAAATCAAATTGTTTGAGAATTCAAAACCAAATAAAATAGAATACCTACAAGGGAGAAATTTTTAATTTCTACTAAATAAAGTATAAAAGTGTGAAGAATGGAAAATTATTTTAAACGATAAGTGCAATTAAATAACAGATATCCTTTTTCTAATGACATCTTATGTAGAAAATTCTTTAGTGAAATAAAAAAAAA